ATAAATGGACTTGATGTTCCCTCACCTGGACGTGGGTTACCGGGGCCCCACTCTGGAGCCAGGCCTGGAAGTGGGGAATGCGGGCGAGCGCCTGGTGGCCGGGCTTTTACCCATGGAGCTCGGCCGGGCACAGCCCGAAGAGGAGACGTGGGTCCCCCTTCCCATGGGCTCAACACCTGTGGGAGGGGCCAAAGGGGTCGGGTGCAATGTGGGATGGGTGATGGGTGGTGGCCGAGGGCAGGGACCCTGGCAGTCTGATCCTCGGCTACAGAAGCTGGCTATTGGGACGTGGAATGTCACCTCACTGGTGGGGAGCTGCTGTGTGAGGTTGAGAGGTTCCGGCTAGAAATAGTCGGACTCACCTCTACGCATGGCTCTGGAACCAGTTTCCTTGAGAGGGGCTGGACACTCTTCCACTCTGGAGTTGCCCCTGGTGAGAGGCGCCAAGCAGGAATGGGCATACTTATTGCCCCCCATCTTGGTGCCTGTGTGTTGGGGTTCACCCCGGTGAATGAGAGGGTGGCCTCTCTCCGCCTACGTGTGGGGGGATGGGTTCTGACTGTCATTTGTGCTTATGCACCACACGGCAGTTCAGATTATCCACTCTTTTTGGAGTCCTTGGAGGGGGTACTGGAAAGTGCACCTCCTGGGGACTCCCTTGTTCAGCTGGGTGATTTCAATGCTCACGTGGGCAATGACAGTGAGACCTGGAGGGGTGTTGTTGGGAGGAACGGCCCCCCTGATCTGAACCCGTGTGGTGTTCTGTTGTTGGACTTCTGTGCTCGTCATGGATTGTCAATAACAAACAACATGTTCAAGCATAAGGGTGTCCATATGTGCTCTTGGCACCAGGACACCCTAGGCCACAGTTCGATGATCGACTTTGTCGTCGTCTCATCTGATCTGCGGTCACGTCTTGGACACTCGGGTGAAGAGAGGGGCGGAGCTGTCCACTGATCACTAACTGGTGGTGAGTTGGCTCCGATGGTGGGGGAGGATGCCGGTCAGACCTGGCAGACCCAAACGTGTTGTGAGGGTTAGCTGGGAATGTCTGGCAGAGTCTCCTGTGAGAAGGAGTTTTAACTCCCACCTCCGGGGGAACTTCAAACATGTTCTGGGGGAGGTGGGGGACATTGAGTCTGAGTGGGCCATGTTCCGTGCCTCTATTGTCGAGGCGGCTTATCTGAGCTGCGGCCGCAAGGTTGTCAGTGCCTGTCGTGGCGGCAACCCTTGAACCCGGTGGTGGACACCGTCAGTGAGAGATGCTGTCAGGATGAAGAAGGAGTCCTATCGGGCCTGTGGGACCCCAGAAGCAGCTGATGGGTACCGACAGTCCAAGCGACATGCGGCTCGGGTGGTCGCTGAGGCAAAATCTCAGGCATGGAAGGAGTTCGGAGAGGCCATCGAGAAGGACTTCTGCATGGCTTTGAGGCGATTCTGGTCCACCACCCGGCGTCTCAGGGGTGGGGAAAGCAATACGCCACCAACACTGTTTATAGTGGGAGTGGTGCGCTGCTGACCTCAACTTGGGATGTCGTGGGTCGGTGGGCAGAATACTTTGAAGACCTACTCAATCCCACCGGCACGTCTTCCACTGAGGAAGCGGAGCCTGGGGACTCTGGGTCGGGCCCTCCAATCTCTGGTGCTGAGGTCACCGAGGTGGTTAAAAAGCTCCTCGGTGGCAGGGCCCTGGGGGTGGATGAGATTCGCCCGGAGTTCCTTAAGGCTCTGGATGTTGTACGGTTGTGTTGGCTTACGTGACTCTGCAATATTGCGTGGACATCGGGGGAAGTTCCCCTGGATTGGCAGACCGGGGTGGTGGTCCCCCTATTCAAAAAGGGAGAACGTAGTGCGTGTTCCAACTACAGGGGGATCACGCTCTTAAGCCTCCCTGGTAAGGTCTATTTGGGGGTTCTGGAGAGGACGGTCCATCGGATAGTCGAACCTCGGATTCAGGAGGAGCAGTGCGGTTTTTGTCCTGGTTGTGGAACACTGGACCAGCTCTACACTCTCAGCAGGGTCCTGGAGGGTGCATGGGAGTTTGCCCAACCGGTCTACATGTGCTTTGTGGACTTGGAGAAGGCATTCGACCGCGTCCCTCGGGGAACCCTGTGGGGGGTACTCTGGGAGTATGGGGTACCGGGCCCTTTGATACAGGCTGTTAGGTCCCTGTATGACCGGTGTCAGAGCCTGGTCCGCATTGCCGGCAGTAAGTCGGGCTTGTTCCCGGTGAGAGTTGGATTCCGCCAAGGTTGCCCTTTGTCACTGATTCTGTTCATAACTTTTATGGACAGAATTTCTAGGCACAGCCAAGGTGTTGAGGGGATCCGTTTTGGTGGCCTTAGGATTGCGTCTCTGCTTTTTGTAAATGATGTGGTCCTATTGGCTTCATCAGACCGTGATCTACAGCTTTCGCTGGAGCGGTTCACAGTCAAGTGCGACGCAGCCGGGATGAGGATCAGTTCCTCCAAATCCGAGGCCATGGTCTTGAGCCAGAAAAGGGTAGAGTGCCCTCTCCGGGTCAAGGAGGAAATCCTGCCCCAAGTGGAGGAGTTCAAGTATCTTGGGGTCCTTTTCACGAATGAGAGAAAAATGGAGCGTGAGATCGATAGGCGGATAGGTGCAGCGTCTGCAGTGAAGCGGGCGCTGTACAGGTCTGTTATGGTGAAGAGAGAGCTGAGTCAAAAGGCGAAACTCTCAATTTACAGATCGATCTACGTTCCCACCCTCATCTTTGGTCATGAGCTTTGGGTTGTGACCAAAAGAACAAGATCTCGGATACAAGTGGCCGAAATGAGTTTTCTCCGCAGGGTGTCTGGGCTCTCCCTTAGAGATGGGGTGAGAAGCTCAATCATTCGGGAGGGACTCAGAGTAGAGCCGCTGCTTCTCCACGTCGAGAGGAGCCAGTTGAGGTGGCTCGGGCATCTGGTTAGGATGCCTTCTGGACGCCTCCCTGATGAGGTGTTCCGGACACGTCCCACCGGGAGGAGGCCCATTGAAAGACCCAGGACACGCTGGAGGGACTATGTTTCTCGGCTGGCCGGGGAACGCCTCGGGATTCCTCTGGAGGAGCTGGACCAAGTGGCTGATAAGCGGAAGAAAATGGATGGATGGATGGATGGACAATGACACCACTCGAACAGAGCAAATTTGTAAATTTTCACAAATCTAAACTCAACCTGTTCACAAGCGACAAGCGCATAAGTAAAGTGCATTAACGGATATATTTGAGTTTCTTAAATTAAAAATTAACTTAAAACTGAAGTCTTTTATATCAGTGTTATTTTGATGAAATGGCTGATATTTAACTTTATCGCTAATATCAGCCGATACCATGCTGATAATTTTGTGCATCCCTACTTGATTCAATAATATTTTAGTGTTAATGGCACAATAAACTAATATTACTACCTGTGAAATACTTTATACCAATTCATCCTACTGCAGCGTTATATTCTACCATGTTGTTGTTTACTATAATTCTGTAAATATATTTCTTTTTCACTTTTTGGTACTTTATTTTGTACCCTTCTTGCATGCTTTGTTATTTCTTATTTTCTTTTCAGCGAGTCGAATTGGTTCTTCTCATCCTTAACATTTCATTGCACTGTTGACCTTGTGTTAACCTGCATGACAAATAAAACATCACAAGTAGCCGCCTGTCCAACAGCTCTCCTTGTGTGAATAAAGCACACTCATCCTAACACCCCACCCATCCAGCTCCTGCAGGTAAGGGGCGTTTCACTTCAGGACAAACTGAAGTTGCAGACTGGTCAGTTGCTGACAAGCAATTGATTGGACTGATTGACAGGTTGCATTGAGGATCCAAATCGTGCAATAACAAAACAAAACAAAATTTTTTTAAAAATCTGATTTTACTTAAGTTTTAGTTTGTGTCATCATTTATTCCATGTTTATTCCAAATTTACTCTATTTTGGTGAATCTAAGGTTTGAGAACTAAGCTTTCTTGCAAAATCCTAATGACGCTTTTCATTTTTTCAGGGGTGCCGAGTTAAAATGTAGGAGTGCTTGAGCGCCCCCAAAAAGAGGCTAAATCGACAGATTATGACCCAACATCTCTTATTTGGTCTCTACTTTCCAACAGCTACTAAAATGTTGATGCAACTTGTCAAACCAAAACTATGATCTGAGGTTTTCTCCTGTAGTCCTTCAAAACAAAACAAACTTGTTCAGTCTTCAGTGGTTCTGTCACAAACACCATTATTTAACAGAGAACTGTGAAGTTTTGTTTTTTGTTATTTTATAGCACTGCTTGTTTATTAGTTGGGATGTTCACTCCTGAAAAAATCTTAACGTTTTCTACTTGTGATTAATCTTTGATATAGAAAGTTAACTTTAAAAATGACATTACATTTTACGCCCGACGGAATGGCAGCATCAGTTGCTTCTCTCAGATCATTGCTGATGCCTTTCCGTTTTGTCATTGTGTTAAAAAACCTGAATACTTGACTAAATGGTAAATGGACTGTACTTGTACATCACATTTCTGTCTTATCAAGATACTCAAAGCTCTTTACAACATAATCGGTGTCCTTGTTTATCCATTCATACAGCACTCTACTAGATCTCTACAGAGAATAATCAGCTTTATCACATTCATACACCGAGGGGACACACATCGGAGGCAATGAGGGGTTCAGTGTATTGCCGAAGGACACTTCAGCATGTGACTGCTGGTGGAATCGAACTCCCAACTCTCCCAATGGAGGACTAGTAGTGTGACACTCACACTTTTCAGTCTTTCCCTGCATTTAATTTATGTTATAAAAATTATTCACAAGATTTACGTCATTTAAAACTTGATCAGGACCTGATAATTTTGTCCCGATACATAAAATCTTAGAATTGGAGTTTTATAAACATTTTTCTCAAAACCGTAAAATAACTGAATAAGCATAACTGCAGATGTATATGGTTTTCATTATTGGTGCATGACACAACCTTCAAACAACAACATTTCAAGGTAAGGTCTCTGTACAACACTTAATAAGCGAGTTTATTTTTATAGAAAACATACAAGGAGCCGTGCTCAAAACGCGGCTTCTTCAGATTTAATGGCAGGTACTCTGGAGAAAAATTACAGCATTCCATCGACAAATATTTTCAAGCAATAAATATGCATTTATAAATAGTGTAAATTTACAAAAAAAATAATAAAAGAAACAAATTAAAGTTGACTTTTGTCCATGTGCAACCCTTTTTCTATGACTCGGCTGTTTGTCAACAAATCCTTTGATTTCTCTCAAAATAAAGTAAAGACGTGTACTTCCAGCAGATCAAAATTAATCTTTTTTAAAAAGTGATTAAAACCCAAAATGGAAACAAAGCTGTAAAATGTGTCACTTCTATTTCACACTACGCAAGTGTTTTATGCTTTTAATCTTGTTTTCCTAACCAGTGAGGTGTGTGGACATACAAAGACCTGCTGTGCTAATGATCTCATCACGGTGAATAAAAACGCTGGTCTCCCACAAACAAATTAAAAAGGTGAAAAAGAAAAATCAGTAGTCTTTGCGTAATGGTGCCAGTTTAAACATAATATGTACAAAACTTGATTTTGTTGTGTATTTGTGTGTTCAAATGAAGTCGAGCTGGGCCAGCAGTAGAACAGTCTGGTCGTGATGGAGCTGCCGTCCCCCTCCAGTCCACTGGGGGAAGGCACACCGCTCAGGCAGGTTGCATAGACTCACAGCTTCACACAGCTGCCTCATGGGATAGCTACAGGGCGCAGTTGAAGGACTGCCACCTTACTTCCTGAATATCAGAAAAGAAAACTGTTTCTGGAGAGTTTCCATTAAGCCCGATGTGGTTTTGTATTGTCCTCGTAAGAAAATGTCTTCATCAGGAGACGGAAGGCAGGGGACTTGCCTGTGAAAAGGAAACAAAAAAAAAAAAAACGCATCAGGAAACTTTGAATAAACTGACTCAATGTGGTCCAACGGAGGAGGACCTGCTGCTGGCGTAGGAGTCTGCTTTAAAAGCAATATACTAATTTACAACTCTTCAAACTAACATTTATATTATGGGACAAAAACAGCCTGATATCAAAAGTATAACATGAAAATAATTATTAGCCCCCTTTATGAAGGAACTAAAACCCTTAATCTTTTTAATGACATGGTCCATAACCCAAAGTGTTCATTTTGTTTGCATCCACAAGAATTCAGACATCTGCACGAGGCCAAATTAACAATTTTACTGATTCAAAGTAAAGATAAAAACAAATACAATGAAATATACAAAGGCCAAAATTATTAACATATACTAGTGATGAGTAGGCCAGTCACAATAACAAATTTTGCTGGGCGATTGTCTCAGAAATTATTGCGATAAACGATAATGTTGTTTGAAATTTGACAATAATTAGTAATTATTGTCAAATTTAAGAAGAAATGTTGGATCATTTGTTTTGAGTGTAGTACCTTTTTTCGACCACCGGATGGCAGTATAAGACTGAACCGAAGGATGGATAGTGAGGGAGGAGCAGCGTGTCTCTTTAAGAACAGTGGGAGGGAGCAGCTTAGCTGCTTTTAACGATCCAAAAATGAGATTTTGGATCGTTAAAATGGATTTTAAAGAGAAAAGAGAAAGGGAGGGTCAGTGAAGAGCACCGGAGTTGAGCTTGTTGTCATCCAGTGTCTTCAGCAGAAAGCGAGAGACATGAAGAAACAATAAAACCGATAAATGAAAACCAAGTTGATAATTTTCATTTATCATGTGATTAACTGATTTATTTTTTATTGAGACAGGCCTAGTGATGAGTGTGGCTTTTTTTTACATCTAAAACACAAAAAACCTTTAGAGTAATTTCTAAGAAGTTAGCACATGTATCCTGAGAAATTTTGCCCCAATCAGTCCTACGGCACATAAACACGGGGTCCTGTGAGCATGGACCCCAAGTCATGAGCTCGTCAGATTTTCAATGGGTTAAGATCTGAGCCACTCCAGAACCTTGATTTTGGTGCCCCTCAAAGACTTTTTAACCAACTCTGATGTACATTTTTGGGTCATTGTCTTGTTGGAAGACCCAATGATAACCTAAACTACACAGACCTGGTCCTTTAAAATATCCACATCCTCCTCCTTTTTCCAAGGTCCCATGCATCCAATTTAAGTTTCCTGTACCTGATGCAACTAAACAAACCAAGTTTCACTGATGGAACAGTATTTTTAGGGTCCAAAGCCTTGCTCTTCCTTCGCCAAACAAAAGCAACAATATGCCCAAACAGTTCAAGTTTGAGTCCGTCAGACCAAAGGACTAACTTACAAAACTCATCCCAACGTCTAAGACTTTCTGAAGGAAAACACCAGGTGGGCTTTGTTGTGCCGCTACGAGAGCAATGGGTTTTTCTTGGACAATGACCATGAAGTCCACCAGTGAAGACCATGAAGTCCACGATGGTCTCAGATGAAACATCAAGTCAAGCGTCATCGTTACAGAAGCCAGTTCAGTCACAATCATCTCTGCAGAGTTCAGGGGGTTCTCGTTGACATTACTGTTTTTATTTTCTATGTTTAGGCAAATTCATATTTTCGACCACGGCCAGTTTTATGTTTGACAGACTTTGTTTCTTTGGGAAAAAGTTTATTTAGGCAGAAATATTATGACATTCCTGTGAAAAGTGACCCCAAATGCTACAACAAGCTTCTGCTATTTAGCCTTACAGAGATATTGACAATGGTGTGAGGGTATATGAAAGAGTGTCTGCATGAGCGAGTAGGAAATCCTTTGAGTTTCAAGTCATTTTAAAACAGCAGCAATCCACTTTGTGTTGGACGTGTTCAGATTAACCAATAGCTCGTCAGCTCTCTTCAAACTGAGGCCTTTAAAGCGCTTTTCTACAACAGGTAAGATATTAATTCTTCATAAGTTTCTCAAGGAACCCCACTTCAAACTGGCCAGAATATTTCTTTAATAGAGAAAAAAAACTAACAGAAAGAAAGAAAACAAATTATTGTACAAATTACTTACCAGTGTAAACTGGTCATAAATCTGCATGAGGTCCTGAATCTTGTACTGCTCCAACACAACAAAGTTGTCCAGGTTTGTGCTCGCCCTTCGTGCACAGTCCTGACAGTGCACCACATACGTCTTCCTGCTGTTACTCTCACTTGTCACAAACAGCAGATCAAACACTTCCACCTGGTTCAGACACAAACGAAGATGTTAATGAGCGCTCCTGAAGCTGATGCAGGAAAGATCGTGTTCTTCGTGTTCTTACTTCACAGATGCTGCAGTAATGAGCAGGCTCGTTCTGGGTCTTGCCGTGCCAAACCAGTTGTTTGCCAGCAGCCAGCAGCATTTCCCTCTGCATCTGAACCTGCTTTAGAGTCCGCAACAAACAATACCTAGCAGGCATAAACACAAACAGTAAGTTTAGATCAACACAAAAAGCTTGTAACGAGGTTAATTACGTGTACGCTCTCACTTGATCATCCCGAAAAGCTTGTGGTCCGATACTTTGATGTTCCTCGCCATGTTCCAGGAGAGGTGGATCATGGGAACAATGGATTTGACACTCTGCAGTTTGTTCCACTCATAGCGCTCTACTGCCAGTTTGTACTGATGAGCTGGAGACGAACAAACAAATGCATCGGTTAGACGAGGACCAAAATATTTTTGGATGCATCGTGTTGCAGACGTGGAAAATTCTGAAGCAGTTTTCAAATGCCCCAAACATCAGTGCATTAAGACGTGATTAGAAAAACTAAGGTCAGGGTTGAAGCTGCACCGACAGAAGTTTACGAGTGACGATTACTTCATTGAGAACTTACCTGTGAGCGGTCCAACGTTCCAAGCAACGTTGTTGCACCAGCCAATAGCCTGAACCCAGTGAATGGTGCCAGTGTTGAGCCACACAAAGTCCCCGGGCCGCTGGATGAAGCGGTAAACAGGCACGTTTGTCTCATACAGGTCCTCAAGGTTAGGCCACCAAGAACCCATCAGGAAGTTAATGTTGTTCCTGTAGTAACCAACAACACAAAAACCAACAGATTCAGCCTATACACGGCTACTTTTGGTTTAGCTAGGAGACTGTAGTAATTCTCAGTGCTGTCGTACTTTTCACAAAAGTTGTTGATGACGCCCCAGTATGGTTCGGGCACAGCAAACCACTCACAATCACCAGGACCGATGTTGATGTTGACAGAGCAGAAATTATTGTTTTCTTGGTGACCTAACAAATAAAACAAAACTAGATGTGGTTAAACAGGAGAGCAAAGACATGCAGAGACGATGTTGTTCACTGTAGCCATGCTCACCTGGGGTCCTGCTCCCTGGTACCTTCATGTACAGCTGGACGGTGTTCATGCCCAGGATGGTGTGGCCCACATGGCTGAGCAGATTCCCAGCTGACACCACCCTGGAGAAAGCTGGTAGTTTAGTCAGCTCCTGCAGCTGCTGCTTCCATCTGTAAGAGGTAAACTGTTAGTACAACTTGCTTGGAGCAAATCAAAATGGAATTTACTGAAGTGTTTACTGACTTTTTCTCATCTGATAGGTCGATGTTGGTGCCAAACTTGATGTGTTTGAACAAACCTTTCTTTCTCCGCATCGCGCTACAAGAATGACAGAAAAACATTAGCAGCTACACACACAAAATATGGCAACATAGGTGCTAAAGAGGTCATGTCCTATCATCACACATTAAGGGGATATTCTGATCATTTTTAAGTTTAGTTCAGTGGAAAGTTTGTGAAAACCTACTTTCCAATTTGCTTGTTGAACTACCTCATTTTGGAGAATAAAAGCTGAAGACCAACAGGACTGATAAGCTAAAAGCTAGTCCCAATACACCCAAGACAGAAACATGGCTTCTGTATTAAAACAACTTCTTCGGCTGTTCCCTTATTGGGTGGTAACCAAAGCAAGTCATCCTCCTCCATCCCACTCTGTCCTTTGTATCCTCTGCCCACCCCTCCATGTCCTCTCTAACTCCATCCATTTAATATCCTCTTTGAGTCTGTATTTTTCTTGGTGGCTGCATTTCTAACGTCCTACCAATATACCTCAACATCACCGGCTCTTCCACTTCCAGTTCTTCTGTCTTTTTGTTCATGTCTGTCTACAGACCATACAACATAGCTGGTCTCACCAATGTCTTGTAAACTTATCCTTTGACCTTTGCTGACATCCTTTTGTTACAAATCACTACGGAAATTTTTCTCCATCCACTCCATCCTACCTGGACTCTCTTTTTCACTTCTTTCCCACATTCCCTCTCATTCACACATGTACTCTGTCTTACTACAGCTGAATTTCATTCCTCTTCTTACAAGTGCATACCTCCACCTCTCCAAGTTCTCTTCCACCTGTTCCCTGTTCTCGCCACAGATCACAATGTCATCTCCAAATGTCATAGTCCACGGGGATTCCTGCCTGACCTCATCTGTTAGTCGGTCCATCATCAGCGCAAACAAGAAGGGGCTCAGAGCCGATCCTTGATACAATCCCACCTCCACCTTGAAGCTATCTGTCACTCCTACAGCACATCTCATCACTGTCCTGCTGTCCTCATACATGTCCTGTACCAGTCTAACATACTTCTCTGCCACTCCAGATTTCCTCATGCAATACCACACCTCCTCCCTCGGCACTCTGTCAAATGCTTTTTCTAAATCCACAAAGACACAATTGAGTTCTTTCTGACCCTCTCTGTAGTTCTCCATCAACATTCTCAAAGCAAAGATGGCATCTGTAGTGCTCTATCTTGGCATGAAACCATACTACTGCTCACAGTCACCTTTCGTCTAAGTATAGATTCCACAACTCTCTCCCAGATCTAAAAAAGTTAAATCTGGTCCTCTGGACATTCATAAAAAAACAAAACAAAGCAAAACAACAAAAAAATGTAGAAACGTTTTGTCTCTCATCCGAGAGACTTCCTCAGGAAGACTTCCTCTGAGGAAGTCTCTCGGATGAGAGACAAAACATTTCTACATTTTTTTGTTGTTTTGCTTTGTTTTTTTTGAATGTCCAGAGGACCAGATTTAACTTTTTTATATTTTTCTACCTGGATTATTGAGCATGCATCAGGATATCTCTCCCAGATCTTCATTGGGTGAGTCATCAACTTAATAATCTTGCAGTTGCTACAAATCTGTACATCACCCTTGTTCATAAAAATGGACACAAACGCATTGCTCAATCTCTCTGGCATGTTCTCATTTTCAAAAATGCCACTAAATAATAAAGTAAAAAAACTTTCTCTCCTAGACATTTCCATTTCTCCACTGGAATGTCATCAGGTCTAACTGCCTTCCCTTCTTAATCCTCTTCAAATCTTTCTGAACTTCATCCTTACTCATCGTTTTAATTTCCTGGTCCAGTTTCTTCGACCTCTGCTCTTCTTTTCCTGTCATTCTCTTCACTCATTAGCTCCTCAAAGTACTCCTTTCATCTTCTAATCACACTCTCCGTTTGTTAGTACATTACAATTTATATCTTCAAGAAAGAAAGTTGTCATCTTGTATGTTTCTATAAAGTATAGTTTTCTATACCAGTTTCTACACAATTAAGGGGCGGCTGTGGCTGAGTGGTTAGAGCAGTTGTCCTCCAATGCAAGAATTGGGGGTTGAATTTCACCAGCAGTCACATGCCCAAGTGTCCCTGGGCAAGACACTGAACCCCTCATTGCTTCTGATGTGTGTCCCATCGGTGCATGAATGCAATAAAGCACTACTATATCTCTACAAAGAATAATCAGTGTGTTGTCCATCCATCCATCCATTTTCTTTACCCGTTTATTCCATTTTTGGGTCACGGGGGTAGCTGGTGCCCATGTCCAGCAATCACTGTGCGAGGGGCGGGGTACACCCTGGACGGGTCGCAAGTCCATCACAGGGCCACATAGAGACAAACGAGACAAACAACCATTCACTCTCTCACTCACACCTAGGGACAATTTAGAGTTACCAATCAGCCTAACATGCATGTTTTTGGTCTGTGGGAGGAAACCGGAGCACCCGGAGAAAACCCACGCATGCACGGAGAGAACATGCAAACTCCACCCAGAAAGGCCCCTGGACCGGGGTTTGAACCAGGGACCTGCTCGCTGAGAGGCAGCAGCTCTACCAGTTGCGCCACCGTGCTTCAGAGTGTTGTATGAATGAGTAAATGAGGGCACAGATTGTAGTGTAAAGCACTGAGTATCTAGATCAGATAGAAAGGTGCTATATAAGTACAGACCATTTACCATTTACAATGATGAAATTTGTTCTCTGCATTTAACCCATCACATGTGAGATAAACCCAGGTGGAGCAGTGGGCAGTTATGTAAGTGCCTGTGGAGAAGTTAGGGATTAGATGTCTTGCTCAAGGACACCACGACATGTGGGCATGGCGGAGAGTTGAACCTGTGAAATTCTGGTCCCAAGCCAGCTGCCTTACCTGTACACCACAGTCGCCCCCAACCAAAAAAAACCCTTTTTTAAAGCCTAACCTGCTGCACATCCTTTTCAACCTGATCCCACTGTCTCAACAATGAATACAATTCTTTCACCCCCCTCCTTAGTGTCCAGCCTCTTGTATAACTCATTATATAACCTGTTTTGCCATTGCCATATTCCTCTTTGCCATATATTGCATCTCATATTATTGTCTATTCTCTTTAGTCATTTCACTTTCCTATCTCCTCTTGGCTATTTCAGTCATTTGGGACAACATTGGATCATTCATAGATCCTCACTGAACTTCAGGAGTGAGTTTGCTGCACTGAAAGTAAAGGGGCCCAATAATATTGCACGCCCCACTTCTCAGTTTTTTATTTGTTAAAAAAGTTTGACACATCCAATAAATTTCATTCCACTTCACAATTGTGTCCCACTTGTTGTTGATTCTTCACAAAAAAATTAAATTTTATATCTTTATGTTTGAAGCCTGAAATGTGGCAAAAGGTTGAAAAGTTCAAGGGGGCTGAATACTTTCACAAGGCACTGTATATATCAAGTGTAATTTACACATAATCTAGTCATAAAATGTATAAAAATACTGATTAATGCAACAGTAAGCTAACCCGTTAAGAGACCAGCTCTTTCTATGCCAGTCACAATTTGACTTCTAGGCTTCCCTTCCTCTATTTCACTAAAGTGTTTGGAAGTTAATGTTAAGAACAGATTCTTAATTGGACTAATCATAAAGCTCAGTAATTCTTTCTGTGTGTTTCTGTATTGGTAGATGATGTATTTAAGTGACAAATGCAAAATTAAAAGGTCCACTTTTCAGTTGGAGGGAAAAAACAACCAAAAAACAAAGTCCTGGCAAAATATTTACTACCATCCAAGTTGCTTACCTGTCTGGAGAGCCTGCCTCCAACTCCCCTTCTTTCTTTTTCTCATTCTCCTCCTGGTTGAAGGAGAAAAAAATAAGAAAAAAGATAAAAGGATTTAATAAATGGACTGTACTTGTATAACGCCTTTTTATGTTATCAAGATACTCAAAGCTCTTTACAACACAATCTGTGTCCTCATTGACCCATTCATACAGCGCTCTACTAGATCTGTACAAAGACTAATCAGTGCTTTATCACATTCATACACTGATGAGACACACACCAGAGGCAATGAGGGGTTCAGTGTCTTGCCCAGGGACACTGCCACATGTGACTGCTGGTGGAATTGAACCCCCAACTCTCCCATTGGAGAACGACTGCTCTAACCACTCGGCCACAGGTGCCCAGCACGAGTCATTTTAAAGGTTGAAAGATCTCTAAATTTTCTATAAATATTTGTAGAACAGTAGTTTTATTATAGGGCAGCACGGTGGCGCAACTGGTAGAGCTGCTGCCTCTCAGCGAGCAGGTCCTTGGTTCAAACCCCAGTCTAGGAGCCTTTCTGGGTGGAGTTTGCATGTTCTCTCCGTGCATGCGTGGGTTTTCTCCGGGTACTCCGGTTTCCTCCCACAGTCCAAAAACATGCATGTTAGGCTGATTGGTAACTCTAAATTGTCCCTAGGTGTGAGTGAGAAAGTGAATGTTTGTTTGTCTCGTTTGTCTCTATGTGTCCCTGTGATGGACTGGAGACCCGTCCAGGGTGTCCCCCGCCCCTCGCACAGTGATTGCTGGACATGGGCACCAGCGACCCCCGTGACCCAAAATGGAATAAGCGGGTAAAGAAAATGGATGGATGGATGGATGGATGGATAGTTTTATTATCTGTGTGCTTCAAACACCATCAAAAACCACAAATAATGCTCAACAGGAAGACAGCAGAACAAGTTTTTCTAACTAGTTCATGGACCTAATCAGTGATCATGTTCTTCCATAAAAAAAAATGCTCATTTAATAAAACGGAGTTCCCTTTTATAGTAAAACCCTTTGTATGCTTCAGGGTGGAGCTACCTCAGGAATGTAAAGCTGTTTACTGTGCATGTAACATTGTTAGTATTCTGTAGTTTTACAGCCAATTATCATTCATGGTGCTCTTATTAGAAAGTGATTTGAGGTTATCATTCAACTTGTAACAGGTTAATCCCACTGAGCCTAGGGGACTCATTTACAATAGAGACCTGAACTATCTGAACTACCGTGATTACTTTGTACATATTTATATACAATTAGGGTTAAAAAGTACTGCTACTTTGAAAATTTGTACAAAATTTGAATTGATCTTTTCAGAAAATGCAACTGTAAATACAAACAAACAACCAAACAAAAAGTTTTCCTAACTGATAAAGCTCAGATGTCCCAGCTTTTGATCAGCCTTGAAGGCAGCATTACCTTTGAGAATCTGGAGCAGAAAGTAAGTCACATTCACGGACAGCTGATCCGTGCACTGGTGCTGACCAACTTGTCCACAGCAGGTGATTTGTGCATGTGTATTTGACAAAATATGCACAGAACATTCCTTGTGCAAACTGAAACGTGTACTTCTGAAAAACTGTTTATGTATTTGTGAATGTTGTAGCACGTGTTTGTAAAGCTTGTGGATCTTACTGAAGCATACACATCTTGTTGCACGCTTGTGGGAATACTTCTGAGACTGACATCTTCATATAATTTTCCCTCAGCGTTCATTGAAATTCTAAATATCGCACAATTAGTAACAGGCTGCTAGGTTTTGGAGCAGCTTAGTGTCGCACTGACCCGCAGTGACTCCTGGAAGGATGACGCCTGGTACTGAGCATATTTGACGATGGTGGTGTGGGAGCGGCTGCTCTCGCAGCGCCACATCTTCCTGTTGCCACTGGGGTCCCAGTTTTCATCGGTGGGTTGAGACAGCTGGGTTCGCACCTCCACCAGATGGTCAGGGTTGGCCTCCACCAGTGTCTTTGTGGAGAACAGGCCTAAGTCTGTGTGGGTACAACACAAAGAGGCATGAGCCAGAGAAGTTTACAAATGCTCTAGAAATGATAGCAAGGATTTTACATGTTGTCTAGCGTTTGTGTTCACTTGTCCTTGTAACATTTTTCTTTAAAGCTGAAGTTTTCTCTAAAGTTCCCAGTCACAAAAATGGTATTGGTCTGAATGAGATGCATCCAACACAATATGTTGGTGGCTGTTCACACATTTTAAACAAATTAAAAAAATAAATAAACACCTGCTTTCAATTCACACAGCAAGTCTTGTGAATGTTCACACAAGAGGCAGATCCTGACCCAAACACCACAGCGCTATGTGCACGCTCACGTGTAGATTAAAGACATCCATCCATCCATCCATTTTCTTTACCCGCTTATTCCATTTTGGGTCACGGGGGTCGCTGGTGCCCATGTCCAGCAATCACTGTGCGAGGGGCGGGGTACACCCTGGACGGGTCGCAAGTCCATCACAGGGCCACACAGAGACAAACGAGACAAACAACCATTCACTCTCTCACTCACACCTAGGGACAATTTAAAGTTACCAATCAGCCTAACATGCATGTTTTTGGACTGTGGGAGGAAACCGGAGTACCCGGAGAAAACCCACGCATGCACGGAGAGAACATGCAAACTCCACCCAGAAAGGCCCCTGGACCGGGGTTTGAACCAGGGACCTTCTCGCTGAGAGGCAGCAGCTCTACCAGTTGCGCCACCGTGCTGCCCAGATTAAAGACATGTTCTTTACAATTTACTGGGAGCATGGATGTGATTCGGTGGGGGGGGGGGGGGGGTATATTTTCACACATGTTGGTTTATTTGTTTATCAAAGGAATCTACATTTGCTGCCTCAACAAACTTCTCAGCTGTAAATGGACTGTACTTCTATAGCACCTTTGTATTTTATTGAGATACTCAAAGCTCTTTACACAACAATCTGTGCCTCATTTACCCATTCATACAGCTCTATACTAGATCTATACAAAGATAATCGAACAAATCATTCTAAAGAGACTAATCAGTGCTTTTAGATCGAATTCATAAACTGATGGGACACACATCGGAGACAACAAGGGGTTCAGTGTCTTGCCCAGGGACACTTCGGCATGTGACTGCTGTGGGGTTCGAATCCCCAACTCTTACATTGGAGGACGACTGCGCTAACCACTCAGCCACAGCCGCCCAAGAAGCTGTGAAGACGACCTTTATCCATTCATTGTTAATTAGGACCAAAAATAAGATGCTGACTTACCAAATAACACACTGTTTCACACAAAATGATTAAACACAGAATTGTTTTTGTTGGAAAAACTTCAGTGTTTTTTTTTTTTTTTTTTTTTTACAAAGATTACCAAACCTACTGAAATCTGATCTTTGGTCAGACTGTTAAAGCTTAAGGCAGCTGCCAGTTTTATATGAAATAATAAAATATAAATAAATATTTCAGGAAGGAATGCCCGTAATGCGTTTGTGGTTTGGCAGCAGCTGTAAGAGGAGGACTGCAAACAGCTAAAATGACACTTCCACACAGACATGAGGTTGGAATCAGGAACAGGATGTCTGTACCTTTGGTCCACGTTCTTACTAGGGGTGCAAAAAGACATTGATTTACATCGATATATCCATTAAATGATTAATGATTCAGTTATATCGTGGTAAAACTAAAACATCGATTCATATCGTCATCTTTAAAATGCGCTTTTATTTTGAAATTCCCAAGGCACGTCTGTGACACCATTTCCGTGCGCGGCTGCGCTCTGTGGCCGCCTCAGCAAAATGGCAGACCAGGCAGAAAACACAGATAATGAAATTCACTCTCCTGCTGGATTTAAATCAACTCTCTGGAAATATTTTGGAATCTGACAGAAGGAACGCTCAACAGACAAAACTCATGGCGTGTGCAACAGGTGCCAGTGTGAGTTCAAATACTCGGGAAACACAAAAAATTTGGCCGTTCACCTGAAGAAGAAACACGGCATTGATAGTCATGTTATGTAAGCTCAATATCTATTTGTTTCTTTATAACTGAAACACAATCAGGACACTTTTAAGTGAACTGGTTTAAAAAAATGCACTTAAACATGAGAAATGTGAGACTACACTGAACAGGTCATTTATTTTTATGTTTTCATTAATTAAGAAAAAATGTTTTATAATTTAAATGCCTGGTGCCTGTAATATCAGAAATAAAATGGTTAAATCATATTTGAATTGTTTTTGTAAATGAGATGGGCATTTGACATCACAACATATCGATCACAGATTTGTGAATCGAACAGAATCGAAATCGTATCGTGACAGACTTTGTGATATCGAGAAAAATCGTACTGCCATACAAACAAATCAATATAGTATCGTATCGTGGTAAAGCTGGTGATTTACACCCCTGGTTCTTACCCAGTTTCAGCGCTCCAGCCAGTCCTCTGATGACAGTCACTGGGTTGGCAGGGTTTGTGCAGAACTGGTGAAGAGGAGGGAAGAAAGCATCCCTCTTGTTTTCAAGCTGTGAGCAGAAAAAACTGTCAGCATCAAAGGATGAGGATCACAAATGCTCCTCCTATGATGTGGCTGAACATACATAAATACTGGGCGTTGGGGGGTTGAGTTTATCCTTTGGCAGTGGAGGTGAGGGTGGACTGGGCAGTCTTGGCGGGGGACACCGGTCCAGAAGGACGCTGCTGGTCGACAAGCCGTTCTTCCCCAGGTTCCTACAGCCAACAGGTGGTGGTGTGTTTGTGTGTGTGTGTGTGTGTGTGGGGGGGGGGGGGGGGGGATATCAATGTAGAAGTGAACAAAGTTCTGTAAATAACTGTTCTGTGACCATCAATGTCATTTCAACTTTTCCTGTTTATCTGAGAGAAGCATACAAGAGAAACTGACAAAATGAGATTATTCAGCCTGATGGTGAACTAACACTAGGCAGTTTCAGGATGAAGCCTTAAACACACATATATATATATATATATATACAGGTCCTTCTAAAAAAAATTAGCATATTGTGATAAAGGTCATTATTTTCCATAATGTAATGATAAAAATGAAACTTTCATATATTTCAGATTCACTGCACACCAACTGAAATATTTCAGGTCTTTAATTGTTTTAATACTGATGATTATGGCATACAGCTCATGAAAACCCAAAATGCCTGTGCCAAAAAAAATAGCAAATCATGAAAAGGTTCTCTAAACAAGCTATTAACCTAACCATCTGAATCAACGACGTAACTCTAAACACCTGCAAAAGATTCCTGAGGCTTTTAAAAACTCCCAGCCTTGTTCATTACTCAAAACCACAATCATGGGTAAGACTGCCGACCTGACTGCTGTCCAGAAGGCCATCATTGACACCCTCAAGCAAGAGGGTAAGACACAGAAAGAAATTGCTGAACGAATAGGCTGTTCCCAGAGTGCTGTATCAAGGCACCTCAGTGGGAAGTCTGTGGGAA